CAGGGCAGGTCGCGCACAGTGAGGTGCTGTGTGTTGCGCTGAGCCGGCCTGCACTCAGCGGTGGCGTGGTTGTGTGTATACACTGCATAGAACGAACCTCCTCCTGCAGTGCTGAAGCTGTCGAAATACTGCATTACAAAAATGTCATATTTTTAAAGGAAGTCATGTATTTTATTTAAACAGAACATTTAAAATTCAGTCCTTCGTACTCACGTACATACCTACTATTTCCACAGCGCTTATTTCCTCGGCTGAAGAAACCTTCATTGTCGTCTCTGTGTGGCAGGTCTGTGGGGGACAAGTTGTCATAGTTTGTGGTTCACAAAACTGTCTTGATTTCACATTCATTTCTGAAGGATCTGTTCTGTGACTGTAAAGTCCTCGGTTGGCAATTCTTTTCTGTCTTTTGTGTTTTAATTATGTTGTTCCTTGTTCTTCTGGCTTCCATTGTTCAGGGTAAGAAATCAGTCATCATTCTTACTGATTTCCCCTTGGTGTTACCTACTTTTTCCTAAAGGTGTCATTGACATGCAATATTATTTTATTTCCAGACTTACAGCACAGGGATTCGGCATTTACATAGCCCACAAGGGGACTCCCAGCATCAATCTGGTAGCCATCTGCCCCAATACGAAGTTCAAAGTTATTGCCATATTGCCGACTAAATTTCCCCTGCTTCATCTTACCTGCCTGTGCCTCATTTGCTTTGTAACCGGCAATCAGTCCTTCCTGGTCCCCTTCCCCAGCCGCCCTCCCCGAGTTCTCCCTCCGGCAATCATCCGATCGTTCTCTGTCTGTGAGTCTGTCCCCTTTCTGGGTTGAATGCCTTTTATTTCTCTTTCTTGTCTGATTGCAGTGGCTAGGACTTCCAGCACTCTGTTAAATAAAAGTGACGAGAGTAGGCGTCCTTGTCTTGTTCCTGAGCTTAAAGGAAAAGCCTTCGACCTTCCAGCGCCGAGTACGGCTCTGTCTCTGAACTCGCCCTGCGTGGGCTTTATCCTGTTGAGAAACGCTCCTTCTCCACCCAACGTGCTGTGAGTTTTTAATCAGGGAAGGGGGTGGGGTTGTGTCCAATGCGATTTCTGCCTCTACTGAGACAATCACGTGGTGCGTCCTTCTTTTTACGTGGTGGGTCATGTTACTGATTTGTGTGTGTTGAGTCACCCTCGAGTGCCCAGGACACGTCCATCGTTGCACAGGTCTGTGTGATGTGCTGTTACACGCTCTTTGCTGGTGGGCCATGAGGTCTTGGTGCGGAGCCAGCCGGCCTGTGGTCCAAGACTCTCATCTTTGCACATTCCCATCCCTTCCAGCCCTACCATTAATGGGACCCATCGATTGTCATTTGGACTCCAATTTGACAAATTAAATGGCACAGAATTAAATAAGTTGTAGATCAATACATCGGAATGATCAATGAATTATTCCTCCTAATTAAAACGACTAATTCCTTTCAGTTATATTTTATTGCCTGATGTCTAATTCTGAGCTTTTAGGCAATTGTATTGATTGCAGATATGCCCATACCTGGGGGTCAAATAATTTATTAATCAGCACAGCTCATAATGAGAGATCTGGGCTAATAACCGTCACCTGGGTATGGGAGGCGGGCTTAATTCAACTTGGGCTTTTGTTTCTTAAGATGCTGATGGCTTGTCATTTCATTGTTTTGAGGTCCTGCCTGCCACAGGAAGTTCCTTCATTGGTGACAATGACTTGTAAGAAAAAGTGGGCGAGTGTCCTCACAAAGCAGGTAAATGGAAGAAGTCAAGTGCCTCCTCAAAATTATGTCTTAACTTTAACATCTTACCATGAAGGTTCTGCAACTTCATTTATGGCTGGTGTGCTGGGAAAAGTGCTCTTGAGATGCAGGAATAAAAGGGCCTTTGGACGTGCAGTTGGGCGCCAGCTTCACTATTACCTTGGAAGACAAATTAAACAGCAATTGCTTTGCAATCTGCGGCCCTGGCTCCATCAGTTTTGAAATAAGTGCAAATAAAACGTCTCTGTTTTCCTATGAATCAGTTATCCCCGTGGCAATGCTGGATGGTTGGTAGTTGTCAGAGGAGAGGACTGAAGCTCAGAGAGTCTCAGTCACTTGCCCGAAGTGTCGAGGAGCTGGGACAAAACCCTGGCAGCTGACTCAGCAGCCCTGGCTCTTAGCAAGTGTTCTATACAAATGAGTTCAATTAACTCGACACATTTTTCAAGAGGCACCTGATATAATCCAAATGTAAAAAAAGGGGGAGTTTTGGGTGCCACCGTAGCAGCTTGCTTGGCAAGAGATGGATGTGTGGCCGATAGGGAAATTGATAATGGTTTTCAACAAAGCCTGCCAATTAATCACACGTAATGAATCTGACTCCCGTGTTAAGGGAATGAGCGATTAAAATATTAGCATTCTGAACTTCTCCCTGGCTAATTTCTCCTCCTCCCCAGGGTTACCATCCTTCAAAGATGCAGGAGCACAGAGCCGCTGACAGAGATTTTATGGAACGAAAATGCATTTGAAATGGCTTAAATTGGGGACAGTCTGCAGTTCTCAAGTGGCTGTCGGTCTTCACGTCTCGCTGCCCAAGCGAGGGACGAGGGCTGAGGGGAGAAGTTGAAACTCCGTGACGTGTGGGAGTGGAAAAGGGAATCCAGGCATTTTCCAGGGAGATGGTGTGGAAACGGGGGACAGACGTGGCCCTTCACCGGGGAGACGGATGGTCTCTCTGTTTCAGCACCAGGGGGCTGTGAAAGTGGCCGAGGAGATGTGCCCCCGAGGCAGGGCCACCGGCATCCGTCCCGCTGGCTTGGCGCTTTCCCCAGGACCACATGCAGAACAGCTGTGTCCTAAACGCACTCTGAGGGCCATCTTAGGAGCACCCAGCAGAGTCTCCCAGGAACTCACTCCCCTGCCTGAGTCCACTGCCCAGAGGGAAGTGTCGGGTCTGTGGGGAGCAAAGTGTCTCAGAATATCTCTCAGACATGAACGGGGCGGCCCCGCTGCTGGGAGGCACATCACCGCTTCTGGTGACAGATCGGGTTTGATCGTGGGGTGGTAGGAACCAGGGCCCCCACACCCGGGGACCAACGCGGGTAGGGTGTGACGTGGACGAGATGGGGAAGAACCCGGGCCAGGAAGCAAATACGTGCCCCAGTCTTTTTCCTCCTGAGAACCCAGGACTAACCTGGTCAGATCTTCCGGTTTTTAGGAAACACAAATGTGTGTGTGTGTGTGTGTGTGTGTGTGAACTGTTGTGCAGGTGCATTAGTTTCCTGTTGTCGCTGTAACAAACCACCACAAACTTAGTGCCTGAAAACAACACGGATTTATCAGTTTACAATTCAGAAGCCCGAAGTGAGTCACAGCAGGGCTGTTACCTCTGCAGGCTCCGGGGAGGATCTGTCCGCTGGCCTTTTCTAGCCTCACCCGACGCCTGGGATCCTGGGCTTCAGGCGTCAGCAGCGTGATTTCTGCTCCCCTCCCTGCTTCCCTATGATCAGGACCCCACAATTACACTGGGCCCACTGAGAGGACCTGGGACAATCACCCCATCTCCACGCCCTGGCCAACACAGCCCAGACTTAGCCCAGAGGAGGGTTCAGGGGGAAGTGGTCAGTGTGTGTGGACCTGGAGAGAGGACGTAAATGAGTCCACAGAAATCAAAGGCAGTGAGGAGGGAGCAGGGGATGTGAGGTGTCAGGTCAAAGCAACACCAGCAAACCCTCACCTGGGGCTTAGGATGCGCCAGGCCCCGGTAGGTGCTCCACACACATCAGTGCATTCACTCCTCCCAGGTGGCACCGCGACCACCCCCATTTTGCAGGTGAGGAGAATGAGGCATAAAGGGGCCAGGCAACTTGCCCAGGTCACAGGGCCCATGCAAAGCACAAGGAAGCTTCATTGATTCATACTCCCCTCCCCCAACACAATTCTGCCCAATCTATATGCTGCTTGTCTTAATAGTCACTTAATATTAAATTAGCTCATTCTCAATCTAAATGAATATAAAACAAACTTTATCTTACTACAATTATCGGAAAAATCAGTGTGGATAGAAAATAAATACTATGAAAATGAAGTGTTGTTAAATCCTCTCTAGATTCAACTCCCTGCTAAGGGCTCTGGATTCAACGGGAGAGTAGAGAACGTCAGAGAGGAGTTAAAGACAGGCTGGCACCAAACTGGGACTTGCTCGTTGGTGTAATTGGAAGGGCTGAAAGAGAAGTAGGAAGGGGATGACCTTCTCCCCATGGGAGAGGACGCGATTTAGAGATGTGGCCCTGCCTGCGGGATGGGGGGGCACCGTGTGGCTGGGGGCACAGACTCAGGAGGTAGGGCCCCACGTCACCGCCTTCCGCCAGCCCAGCCCAGCCCTGGGCACTGCCTCTCCGTTTCCTTAGGGGATCCTGACTCTCCGGGAAAGAATGACGGTAAAGCGCCAAACCTAACACATGGCAAATGCCTCATAAACACAAGCTGTTGTCATTATCATCATCATCAAGCTTGGCACACAAGTCCCTGGCCTTTTTGAAATTTATTTTTTATTTCATAGATAATGACTGTAATCATTATCTATGTAATCAGCGGTTTCTCTGTGCTGATCTTTCTTCTGGGTTTTATATGGATACCCTATTTTCTATGTATTAGAATATTAAGCATATAAGCACATATGTTAAGAACTGTTATTATCCCTATTTAAACTAATAAGGTAACTTATTCTTACTCCTAAGACCTCGTAGAGGATGATTTTTGCTCACGGGACTGCAAAGCCGGCCCACGAAACGTTCCCAGGGGTCCTCATGCCCCCTTTTCTTTGGGGCGGACCCCAGGACCCCGACCTCTGGGAACCAGTGCTGACTGACCGCGCAGCACCCAACCCCCGCGAAGCCCCGCCTCCAGCGCGGGCCCTTAGCTCCGCCCCTAGCTCCGCCCCCGACGCACACCCCTTCCGGCCGGCGCTCGTCGGCTGACGCGTGACGTCACGGCCCCGCGCCGCCGGCGCTTCTGCGCGCCTGCGCCGCGGGCGGAAGGTCGTGTCTGTGACCGGCTGGGCGTTTGGAGCAGCTGTCGCCATGTTGTCGGTTGCTGCCCGCTCGGGCCCCTTCGCGCCGGTCCTGTCGGCCACGTCCCGCGGGGTGGCGGGCGCGCTGCGGCCCCTGGTGCAGGCCGCGGTGCCCACCGCCTCGGAGACTCCAGTGCTGGATGTGAAGCGGCCCTTCCTCTGCCGCGAGTCGCTGAGTGGCCAGGCCGCGAGCCGGCCTCTGGTCGCTGTCGTGAGCCTCACCGGTAAGCCAGCCAGGCCAGGGGTTCCCCCTCTCTCCCCCTCTGTGGCCTTGGGCCCAGGGATCCGCTCAGAAGGGCGAGAATTGGGGAAATGGGACCGGGCGGCCGGCTGGGTGGAGCGGGCGCGTCCGGGTCCGTGTTTTTCCTGGGCAGGACACTGCTGGGCGAGTGATCGCAGGTGTCCACCGGCTCTGGAAGCCGGCTCCCGGCCTCAGGCTCCGTTTTGACTTCCATCAGTTACGTTCTAGAGCTCCAAGCTCCGACTGCGCCCAGCAGAGTCGGATCCATTTCTCACCGGTGACATGGACCAGCGGTTATACCGAATTCGCGGGTTGTGTCCTGAGGTTCGGATGAAACCAACCTTACATAGAGCCATGAGTACACTTGGGGGGCATTTGATAAACGCTCAGAAGTAGGAACTACTAATACTTGGGAGGTTGTCCCGCTGGCCACCGGCGATTGCTGTGGTGCCCCCGCCACACACAGTCCACACAGCGGCACAGTCTCAAGGTCAGTCACAGTGCAGGCATCAGCCGTGGTTTCAGGCGTTTCCCGCCGTGGTCAGTCCATCTCAGAGCCGTAGATGGTTTTCCCGTTTCACAGATGAGGGGACAGCGGAGTAGGGCTGCTGACACACACTGTCCCGGAGGCCGGGTTGAGGACCTATGCACCCTCTGGCAGGTCCTGGGCCCCCTCTGTGCCTTGTCTTCGTTTCTCGGTTCGTGCACTGTCCTGAATTGGTGGCGTTTGGGCCAGTTGCCTTAGTCTGAATCACTGGCATCATTTTAAAAGCCTGGGAGGATCTCTGGCGACCCTTGAAATGTTGGGAACTGGTCCCCCTGGGCCCTCGTTCCGCCTGGGTCTTCTGGTGTGCTCGGTGGCTGCAGTGGTGCTGGCGCAATTCTCCCAGGCCTCCCAGGCCTCCCTGGCCCACTGCTGGCCTCCTGCCACCTACCAGGCCCGTGACACTTTCCACGCTGCGTTGTGTTTGCTGTGCTTCCTCTGACCTTGAGCTTGAGGGCGTGGAGAAGGTCTCCTTTGTTTTTCTCCCTCCCCTCCTTGTGGGTTCTGCACATAGCAGGTGCAGAGTGTTTCTGAACAAATTCAGTGGGATTTTGTTAGGGGGCACTCTGGGTTGCGGGGAACCCTTTCCAAGTGGGAACAAAGCACCCTTGCAGGCCCAGTTGACCTGGAGGTGAGAAACGGGGGAGACCATCCAGTAGCACAGGTGGACAGCATCATTGGACTGTGTCACAGTGGCCACAGGGTTCCTTCTGAACCCACCATTCCCTGAAACTGGTAAAAGCTGGGGCGCTGTGTGGCAGCCAGTTGTCTGAAATTGCACCCTGCAGCTGTGGCTGAGGGCACGGGAGACCCTCCTGTTGATGTCCTTTGTGGGAAGGTGATCAGCAGAGGCTTTGGGCTGGGAGGGGCTGGAGCAGAGGGTCCCTCCCTGAATGGAGGAAGATTTCCAAGGTGCCTGAGAGCCCTTCTGAAACAGGACGAGGCAGACAACACACTTTGACTTGTGATGCCGCTTTACATTTTCTGTACAAGTAACTGATTTCGCTTTAATTTGGAACGAAATCTAGCTAGCCAGTTCAGGGATCTTTGCTTTTAAAAGTCACAAAAGCAGTTCGTGTGGATTATTTGGAGAGTGGTTTTTGCACCAGGCCATTTAATCCCCCAGTGCCCTCTGGATGGCCCAGCGGCACAGGAAGTGTGACCTGCTGCGCAGGCGGCCAGCAGACTGCCGCGTCTCCTTGCTGTCAGATCTCCAGCTGAGGCTGTCAGAGCCGTTCTGGTTACTGTTTCCGTACGTTTCCGTGTGTGCTGTTACCCGGTTGAGGGTAGTGGTGTCGTTTTTAATGGAGAAGTGTTTACTTCGGTCTCTGTCAGGTATGATGTAGTCCCAGACGATGCTAAGGGAGAGTGTTTTGTACTGGATCCCACGCCCCAGCCCACACTGAAAGGTTCCCGTTGGGCAGGGTGGGGCAGTGCCTCATGGAATGTCGCTTTGCCGTAGTTGGGAATAGCAGGTAGTCACTGCCTGTGTCTTGGTTTAGCCAGAAAAGTGCACCAGGCGGTTTCAACAAGCCTCCCTGTAAAGTTACAGACTCCGAGAGCCAGTAGATCACAACTTAGATGAAAATACACTTCATTTTGAAAACAACACATTTTCTAAAAGTGAGGGACTTTTGGTGACCCATTTTCTGGGTAAAGAGATTTGCATCCTGAAACCTGCTTCACAGTGATGCCAGCAAGTGGGCCATTTTTCAGGCATTTAAACCTGCCACAGGCAGAGCACGTGGTCCGACACTCACTCAACGTGGACGCCTGGCCAGGCGGAGTCCCACAGTGGCCGTGCACCCCAGAAGGACAGGGTCCTCCCCAGAAGGACAGGGTCTGCCCCAGGGGAGCAGGGACCTTCAGTGAGGGGGCGGCCACCTTCTTCCCCAGAACATATTGAAAAAGCTGGTTCTTTGGGGGATTTGATTTGATTTTAATAGCTGTTCTTTTTTTGTAAGGATGTCCTTTTCTGCCAGTTAGGGGATTTACTTGAAGTGAAAGTGATGCAGATTTACACCTTAAGGTCTGAGATAGAAATAACCTAAATTTTCTGCAGCTACAGTTATGCTACAGTTCATAGACTGTTTATCTTATAATTGGTATTTTACGAATTGTTAGCTGTTCTTTCAGAGAACAGATAGACAGGAAATGTAGTAAGGTGGTTTAATGTATCAGGTGGACTAGGTGTGAGCTGCAGGGTTCCTTCTGACCCGGAGAACGGGGACACAGTTCACACGGTTGTGCAGTGGGCTCAGGGCCATGGGTCTCGGGGGCCCGAACGCAGTAGTGCTGTTCCCAGGGCTGTCTGACTCTGTGCACGGGAGGCCACACGGGAGGCCGAGTCATCTGAAGCCCTGGTTGGCGGTGTGTGGTGAGGCAGAGCCCGTGTGGAAGTGGAGCTTGGCGTCGTTCTGTTTTTAGCATTTCAGACACTGGCTCTGCTAACCCGCCCATGTCTGAGACCACCAAGTGTGATTTTTTAACATTTTTATAACTTGATTCTCGCTGGTGAACTCGTCAAGGCCTGCCGGCTGATGTATCCCCCCAGTGGGCTCCTCGCCCAGTGGTGTGCTAACCCTCTGTTATTCTTGCAGCCCCGGCGTCCGTGCGCTACTCCCACACCGACGTCAAAGTGCCCGACTTCTCCGACTACCGCCGCAGCGAGGTGCTGGACAGCAGCAAGTCCTCACGAGAGAGCGCCGAGGCGCGGAAGGGCTTCTCCTACCTGGTGACGGCAGCGACCACGGTGGCCGTCGCGTACACCGCCAAGAATGTCGTCTCCCAGTTTGTGTCCAGCATGAGCGCCTCCGCGGACGTGCTGGCCATGTCGAAGATCGAGATCAAGCTGTCCGACATCCCCGAGGGCAAGAACATGGCCTTCAAGTGGAGGGGCAAGCCCCTGTTCGTGCGCCACCGCACCAAGAAGGAGGTGGAGCAGGAGGCTGCGGTGGATGTGGCGCAGCTGCGGGACCCGCAGCACGACCTGGAGCGCGTGAAGAGGCCCGAGTGGGTCATCCTGATCGGGGTCTGCACCCACCTGGGCTGCGTGCCCATTGCGAACGCGGGCGACTTCGGTGGCTACTACTGCCCCTGCCACGGGTCCCACTACGACGCGTCGGGCCGGATCCGGAAGGGGCCCGCGCCGCTCAACCTCGAGGTCCCCTCGTACGAGTTCACCAGTGACGACCTAGTGGTGGTGGGTTAGGGACGTGGCGTGGCCTGCCTCCCCCCCCCCCCCCCCCCCCCTGGGCCCACCCCCAGGGGGCGCTGGAGAACAGGTCTCCCGTGCTTCAGGCTGTCGGAGTGGGCAGTCAAGATTAGCTGGCGGCACCTTTGCTGACAACGCAAGGATAATGTGAAGTGAAGGGAATGGGATGTCGGGTCCTGCCGGTCACCCACCCAATAAAGCCACTATTGAGCGCTGCGGGGCTCAGAGATGTGAGAGGTGCAGTGTCTGGTCATTGTCATTAAAAGTCACTGGCTGGTGCACGGGCCCCTGTGAAGTCTGTGATGGACGTTCGTGTTTATTCATCTCGGTTGGGGCCACAGTCGCTGCAGGGCCGTGGTTGTGAGATTAAACCAGCCGGCCACCTCCCAGGCCGGAGACTCGGGCGTCTGCGGGTCTCCCTTCGGCCCATGAGCTCTGGCTGTGCCCCCTGCCCTGCCTTTCCCTCACACGGACTGTCATGCGTGGGACAGCGCTGACCGCAGTCCGCTCTGAGGGCTTGGCCCGGCTCCAGCTGGCCATGTCCTGCCTCCGAGAGAGGCCAGGACAGTGTTTCGTCCCTTAGGGGAATGAGTGAGTAGTTAGAATTTTTCAGCTTTAAGAGGAGGTGGGGGGGATATTACCCGAGGAAGCTCTGCAGCGGGAGGCGCAGGGAGCCGGGCGCCTGAGCCCCAGTCCCGCCGGCAGCAGCGACCTGCCGACCCCGAGTCCGGAGTGGTGACAGGTCACAGCTTCTTCCCACTGCATCTGCAGTGACACCCCCTTCTCACCAAGAGGCAAGGGTGGGTCCGGGGACTTCTCCAAATTAACGTCTCGTGAGCACCGCCCCCCCCACACACCCAGGCCGAAAGGACCAAGGTCTGACACCCGACACCCCCCCACGAATGTGTGGCAGGCTGGACTCTGGAGGGACGCAGTGGCACAGGTGCGTTTGTTGTGACCACAGTGTGCCGTACTGTGACAGACCCGTGAGTCCTCGAGCCTCTGTGAGACAGCAGCCTGAGTCCCTGGTCACGCCCTCCCGGGATGCTGGCCCACCAGGGCTCCCAGGGGCATTGCCGGACACTGAGCAACTCCGGGTGTGGGCCGAGGTCAGCCTGGGGGAGGGGCGGCGGGCCATGGCATTTAGGTTCAGAGATTTAGGTGTAAGCATCAGACAAAATGTGCCAAACACGGCCAGTTCCCCACTTTTTGGTGTTTCCTGTTTTAAATGGAGGGCTTTCCGATCCCTGGAGCACGTGGAGATGGCGAGAGGCTGCCACTGGCCCCCAGGGGGGAAGCGGAGCCCGAAGGAGCCGCGCACACAGGCAGCTCCCGGCAATATGTCAGAGCATCGCGGTGCTACCGTGTCGGGGTCTGCAGCCCTGGCCCTGGGGGGGGGCCTACGGTGCCAGTGGGGCCCCACTCAGGAGACTGACAGGCGCCCTAAACACACCCAAAGGAAAGGCTCTGAGCCCTTGTGTGGGCACCACTGTGAGAAGGTCATCGCAGCTTGGAAGTCTGCAGCCCGCAGCACGAGGCTGAGACAGATCTCGGGGTGGGTGTGAGCGGTGTTGGGGTCGCTCTTCGTGGTCAGCCCCCAGTTCCGTCACCTGCACTGGACATGTCTGCAGGCAGGTCATAAACACCAGCTGGCCTCAGTCCCCAAGCCTAGCCCCTGACCTTTGAACTCCTTATCTGATGAGGCTGGTGGCAGAGGTCAGAACAGGTTTCATAGCACTTTTAAAGGGCAAGTAGAACCTTGGTTAGTTGAAGGGGGTGAAACTGATGCCTTTTAAATAATTGTCTGCATCATGTCGGCTCCTGCTGGAGGTCTGCCCACTGCTGAGTACGACATGTGGGGGGGGGGCTCCGGGGAAGGGCGCAGCTGTGCTGCGAAGGACCTTCCAGAAGCTCAAGGGCCAAGGGCCGAGCCCCCGCCTTCCTGTCAGACCTGGCAGGGGACTCTGTCTGGCTGTCCGGAGTCGGTGCATCGCTGTGCGGCCACTCCCCCGGCCCCTGCTCAGGCCCCAGGCCTCACACAGAGAAAAGGACGAATGGCGGCCGGCATTTGAGGATGGAGGCTGTGGACTTCCGACGGCCCCAGGGGGGCTGGGCGGGCCTGCAGGGCCGACAGGTGGCCGCATCCTTGTCCGAGCAGCCCCTCCAACCCCTGGCCTGTCCCTGGCCTCCCCTAAATTCTCTCCCAGCCCCCGTCCTGTCTGGAGCCGGGCCCCTCTCAGATGCTCATGGAAAGCTGGCTGAGCAGATGGGCGAAAGGAGAGGTGTGAGTGTCGCTGTTCAGGGACCAGTGTGACAAAGAGCGGTAAGCTCCCACCCTCTACCTGAAGCGAGGTCCTTTCCCATCCGTCCCCTGCTGGCCTGCTCACCTGAGGTGAGGGTCTTGCATTTCAATGGCGATGGACCCTCCAGAGCCAAGTGGCTCAGCCCAGGTCTACAGTGGCCACTTCGTCTCCCAGATGAGATGGGCAGGGGCCAGCAAGGACATTTGTCAGAAGCACAGAGGTGGTAACCCTTGACTGTAGACTTGAAACACTTGCATCTGTTTCAGGTCCCCAGCTGCTTGGCTGCTCCAGAGTGAAAGGTCCCCTCCGTAAACACCCCAGAGGCTGCTGGAACTCAGGGCAGGGGGAGCCGCCGGACCACGAGGCCTTCATCCTGGCAACTCGGCCCCCGCAACCGAGTTACTGCTTTGTGTTTCCCTCACTCAGTGCCCTGGGATCCAGTCCTGCGGCAGGTCTTTTTCCAGGGCATCCCGGAGGCTGGGTCGTGGCCATGTAAACACACCAACGGGAATAACGTACAGGCACTGGAGCCCAGGAGCCGTCCCAGCCACAGCCTTCCCCCACCCAGTTCCCCCCCGCCCCCCAACGTTGCTCCCAAACCCCGAGCAACAGGGGGCTGGACGGAGCCAGGCCTAGGACTTGCCTCGTTAGATGCCCAGCAGCAAGAATCATTGGGGTGCGGGTGGTTCGAATCAGGTCTGGGAGGTCGTGTTCCCTGGACAGAGCCCGTGGGCTTCAGGAGCCCTTCAGGGTCGGTCTGTCACTGATGCAGGACGCAGCAGGGTCAAGAGCACGACCCCAGGAGCCAGTTGGACGGAGGAGCTCGAGGCAGCTCGGCCACGGGACAGCTGTGGAGTTCAAGCCCATCACTCTGCTCTCTCGGAGGCACAGTTTTCCTATGGGCAAAGGATAGCATTGTGCGTTCCTTGCGCTGCCCTCGTGGGACCACTGGAGGAATGACCGGGGACGCCGTGAAGTGTCCGGCCTGGGGCCCGCTTGTGCCGCGTGCTCCGGCATGTCCCTCGTCGTGTCTGTTCATTTGTTAAATGCGAGTCCAGCGCTGCATGCGATGAAATACGGCTGCAGAGGCGGGCTGTCCTGGGGACAGGACACACAAGCAGTGACAACGTCCTGTGGATTGCACGGGGCAGCCAGGTACCCCTGATGGCAGCTAGTGACGCGCCACGGGACTGCCGAGGTCAGGACCGGACGGCCTGGCTCACCTGGCCCTCCCCAGCTGGGGCCCTGCCTGCACCGGGCCGTCCGTCCCCGACGGGCAGGAGCAGTGTTTTCCTGGTTCGCTTTCCCTACGTCCTTGGCCAGTGGGAGCAAGTAAACCGAGAGCTATTTATCGAATTCAATGCACCACAGGCTTTTCCTCATCTTCCCACATTTCCGCCAAAACCCCTCCTTGCCTCCGGGAGCTGCGGGCAGCGGCGGGCGGGCGGGTTGTGAAGGTGCCTGCTGTGGGCACAAGGCTGTCAGGTTCCAGGTCGTCTTGAGCGGATGGCCAAGCCCGGAGGGCGCGGAAGGTCCACTCCCTGCCCTTCTCCACCAAGGTCAGCGCTGTGGGCAAAGGACTTCCAGGAGCAGAGGCCTCGGGGGACGCACACCCCAGTGAGTAGTTACTTAGGCTTTTACGAGCAAGACTTGATTAACTAGCTTCTGAAAGGACAGGAGTTATTCCCCAAGAGGCTGTTGGGAAGCAGCTCTGTTAACTCAGTCCTTGCAAGAACAGATGAGCTGAAACCCACGCTCCGTGACATCATTAGCCAAGGACGGGGACACTACGTTATTCTGCAGTCATTCTGAGGAAAGGGTCTCTTTCGTGGCGATTTACAGCTTCAAATTACTTTGGAGGCTAGCTTTGGCTTTTCGGCAGATTATAATAAGAGCAAATTATTGTCCATTTTAATGGCTGGCTGCTTTGCCAAGGAGGGCTGATGGAGGGCCAGCGACAGTGCTGCATCTCGTGAAAGCTAATTGACAGCCGAGTTCCCTAAATACCACGGGAATCCGTCCTGGTTAACACCACTGCCGCGGGTCCTGAAGGAATTAAGATGATTTAGCCGCCGACAATGACGGGACATGGCACCGATGCTGTACACACTGAAAGGGGTGGAGAAGGAGCCGGTAGGTGGGGCTGCCTCCCGTTGCCTGATCTGTGAATCGGTGCCACACTCGGGGTCCCCCCTCCATGCAAGGGCAGGCACTCGGCTGGGACGGTGTGGCAGATGGCCTCCTCTCGTCTCCACCGTGTCCCTCCTCTGGGATTTGTGCGGGCCCACAGGGCCGTGAGGGGGGCTGTGGCATTCAAGTGTGAGCCCCAGGGGTGGGCGGGCAGTAGCCACCTGGAACCCAGCCCTCCCCTGCCCTCCCTCAAACCGGGGCACAAGCGGTGCTTCTCGCCCGCACCTGGAGGCCAAGTACAACTGCAGTGGCAGGTCGGAGGGGGCTTGAGCCGCAGGTTGGGAGGCCACACTCTTGAGTAGGAATGTGGCCTGGCTCACCTAGGCAATGCTCTCATATTCTCTCTCTCTCTCTCTCTCTCTCTCTCTCTCTCTCTCTCTCTCTCTCGGGAGGCTCCTTGGTGCCCCATCCAAATGGAGTTTTGGCCCATCGTCTGACCCGTTTGCCCCTCCGGCCACATCAGAGCCCCAGGCACGAGGGACTTCAGCTCAAACCTGGTCCTTCGCTTCCGTGGGCCCAGCACCCAGCATTGGTCTGGG